GAGCTCTGCATAAGGAGGTTACAGAGGAGAATCGTGGTATCCTGGCCTCTCTCAGTAAGGCTCCTAGTTGCATCATGAGATTTGTTTTGCAATTCCATACATATATCTCTATTGTGAGGGAGCTCAATAGCGCTGCCTTCAGCAGCTGGGCTTCCAACACCTCCACAAGTCACCTTGAATGGAGGACTGTTTTGGTCTGGGAATGTACTTCCTCCAATTACGCCTTTCTGAACAGATATCTTAATTGTCAGGGGTCCCTTTACCTTAAACAGAGAACAGGCTGGTCTGAACTGCCCAAACCTTTTAAAAGGAGGCTTCATTCTTATAAAGGTAAAGGGAGCCTTTTTAAATTGCAAATCGGCTTTTGTTGGTACTGCTTTTTCTTTCCATCTTGGGCCTATACCATTCAGGCAGCTGTGGTAGCATACATAAACAGGTTTCCCCCTCATCTTTGGGTACCTTTCCCCCCATTATACCTGAAAGGGAAGCTTCCGGTTTTTTAACAAATATTATTTTCAGCATTTTTTTTCAACTCGTTATAAATCATTTCCCCAAAGACTTTTACTATCTTACACAAACACAACATGTCAAAGCAAAAAAAAATCCTTCCAGTAGCACCTTAAAGACCAACTTAGTTAGTTCTTGGTATGAGCTTTCGTGTGCATGCACACTTCTTCAGATACACACATGAAAGCTCATAACAAGAACTAACTTAGTTGGTCTTTAAGGTGCTACTGGAAGGAATTTTTTTTGTTTTGACTATGGCAGACCAACACGGCTACCTATCTGTAACTGAAACACAACATGTGAAAAAGGTACCTTCCTTCCCTTGACATTCCCAGCAGGCATTTGATTTGGTCTTGTACATTTTAGCTAAGTTACTAGGAGTCAAATGCCATCTATACATCATTTTCCTATAGTGTTCTTTGAACTCATAACATGCTGTAAATTTCAAATCTCCATTCCACAATCTTTCCCAAGCTGCCATTTCAATGTTGTATCATATATCCATTGCTCAGTGTATGATCAGCAATTTGTCTTTCCAGGTCACCTTCAAAGGTAGCCCCACATAGAGTGCATTGCAGTAGTCTAAGCGAGAGATAACTAGAGCATGCACCGCTTTGGTGAGACTATCAACGGGCAGGGAGGGTCTCAGCCTGCGTACCAGGTGGAGCTGGTAGACAGCTGCCCTGGACACAGAACTGACCTGCACCTCCATGGACAGCTGTGAGTCCAGAATGATTCCCAGGCCGCACACCTGGTCCTTCAGGGGCACAGTTACCCCATTCAGGACCAGGGAGTCCTCCATACCCACTCGCCCCCTGTCCTCCAAGAACAGTACAGTGGTGCCTCGCAAGACGAAATTAATTCGTTCCGCAAGTTCTTTCTTCTTGCGAGTTTTTCGTCTTGCGAAGCACGGTTTCCCATAGGAATGCATTGAAAATCAATTAATGCGTTCCTAGGGAAACCGCTTGCCAGGCTGGCGGTGCGGAGAAGGGCTTTTCTCCGCACCGCAAGCCTTCAGGACAGGTACGGGAACAGAGGGGAAGGCGCGCAGCGCTTTCCCTCTGTTCCCGGGGCTTGCGTGGGAGGAGGGTTTTTCCTCCCCACCGCCAACATTCAGAACAGCATTCTGAATGTTGGCGGTGGGAAGGAAAACCCTCCTCCCACCCCAAGTCTTCAGGACAGCCATCCGATGCCGGGCTGCGGGAGGAGGCGTTCCCCCCCCCCGCCCGGCATTGGAGCTTCGTTCCGATGTCCGTTGGAGGGAGGAGACGTTCCCCCCCCCCGCCGGACATCGGAGCTTCGTTCCGATGTCCGTTGGAGGGAGGAGACGTTCCCCCCCCCCGCCGGACGTCGGAGCTTCGTTCCGATGTCCGTTGGAGGGAGGAGACGTTCCCCCCCCCCGCCGGACATCGGAGCTTCGTTCCGATGTCCGTTGGAGGGAGGAGACGTTCCCCCCCCCCCCGCCGGACATCGGAGCTTTGTTCCGATGTCCGTTGGAGGGAGGAGACGTTCCCCCCCCGCCGGACATCGGAGCTTCGTTCCGATGTCCGTTGGAGGGAGGAGACGTTCCCCCCCCCACCGGACATCGGAGCTTCGTTCCGATGTCCGGCGGCAGGAGGAGGTCCGAGGACAGTGGGGAAGACGCGCTGCGCTTCCCCGCTGTCCCGGAGATTTCCCTATGGGCTGTCGTCTTGCGAAGCAAGCCCATAGGGAAATTCGTTTTGCGAAGCGCCTCCAAAACGGAAAACCCTTTCGTCTAGCGGGTTTTCCGTCTTGCGAGGCGTTCGTCTTGCGGGGTACCACTGTACTTCTGTCTTGTCAGGATTCAACCTCAATCAGTTAACCACCATCCATCCTCCAACCGCCTCCAGACACTCACACAGGACCTTCACCACCTTCACTGGTTCTGATTTGAAAGAGGTAGCATACTGCTGGACACCCAGCCCAAACCCCCTGATGATCTCTCCCATCGGCTGCATGTAGATGTTCAAAATCCATATCTCTTTGTTGCAGGTGGTGATGAATTACAAATTAAGAACCAGCAAATGCATGACAAAATCCACACAGTGGAGAACCCCTATCAATATGTAGAGTGTGGAGAGAGCTCTCATTCCTTATCCCATCCAAGAATTCCCACTGGGAAGAAAAAGCATCAGTGCTTGGAATGTGGGAAGAGCTTCCGTCAGAGGGCCCATCTCACAGCCCATCAAATGAGTCATAAAGGAGAGAAACCTTATCAGTGCTTGGAATGTGGGAAGAGCTTCAGTAAGAAGGCCTATGTCACTTCCCATCAAAGAATTCATACAAGGGAGAAACCCTACCAGTGCTTGCACTGTGGGAAGAGCTTCAATCAGAGGTCCCATCTCACTATCCATGAGAGAATTCATACAAGGGAGAAACCATATCAGTGCTTGGAATGTGGAAAGTGCTTCAGTCAGAGGTCCCATCTCACTACCCATCAAATAATTCATACAGGGGAGAAACCTTATCAGTGCTTGGAATGTGGGAAGGGCTTCAGTTCAAAGGCCTATGTCACTTCCCATCAAAAAATCCATACAAGGGAGAAACCCTATCAGTGCTTGCATTGTGGAAAGATTCACTCAGAAAGGAAGTCTCATTTCCCATCAAAGAACTCATACCTGGGAGAGAGTCCACATAAATGCTTGGAATGTGGAGAGAGTTTTAGTCAGGAGTCACTTCTCACTTCCCATCAAAGAACTCACAGCGGGGAGAATCAGAATCCCCTTGAATCATTGGATTGTTGCATTGGATTGGATGGTGAGAGCCATCTTCTCCAAGCCCCTGCAATGGATATTCAACAAAAAAATTCATGACAGATGGCCATCAAATCTTTGCTTAAAATCCTTCAATTCAAGAAGATACCAGCCCCACCTGTACTTGTTTGTTCCAGAGTCAAACAGTTCTTGCTGTAAGAAAGTTCTGCCTGATGTTTCATGAGATTCTCTTACTTGTATCTTGAATTCATTGGTGTGTCCTTCCACCAGAACAGAAAAAAGCAAGTTTGCTCACTCTTCCATGGCACAGCCCTTTCGATGTTGGAAGATGTCTATCACATCTCCTTCTCCATCTCCTTTTCTCCATAATAAACATCCCGGCTCCCTCAACCATTTATCCAAGTCTTGGTTTCCAGAGCCATGATCACCTTGGTCTCCCTCCTGTGCACCCGTTCCAGTTTGTCAGGGATGAAGCAGATCCAGAACTCTGGTTCAAAAGGTTTGGCCCCAGAAGCATCAAAGCCATTGTGGAGACAGAATGTGTGCAACACAACGTTCCTGCATTGCGGGGGGTTGGACTGGAAGACCCTTGGGGTTCCTGCCAACTGTATGATTCTGTGATGATGCAGCCTAGAATGGCATCAGCTTTTTATTTTGCTGCTGCATCTCACTGTTGACTCACTACAAACTTGTGGTCTACTAAGAGCCCTTGATCCTTTTCCAATACAGTGGTACCTCAGGTTAAGAACTTAATTCGTTCCAGAGGTCTGTTCTTTATTTATTTATTTATTTATTTTTCCTCTCTCTTTGTGTGTGTTTTTTTTAAAAAAATAATTTTTATTCATTTTTAAAACACATAATAAAAAACAAACAAAACACAAAACAAAGACATACAAAACATTTAAACATGTATAATTTCATAATCTTATTTTCGTGCACCTTCTTTCCCCTGACTTCCCCATACCTCCCTTTCGCTGCATCCTTATTTTACAATTCTTTAGCAACTCCTCTAATCAATTATCTATTTGATTCCCTTTCATTAAATTTTCTTTGATTTGTTAGTTACAGCTGTAATTCTCTGCTTCTTACCCCTTGACATCTTAACACTCCTCAACTTTACAACAATTTTAAAGATATATTTTAAATTTCTTCCAATCCTCTTCCACTGTCTCTTTCCCCTGGTCGTGGATTCTGCCGGTCATCTCCGCCAGTCCCATGAAGTCAATCACCTTTGTCTGCCATTCTTCCAGAGTAGGTAATTCTTGCATCTTCCAATACTTTGCCAGAAGAATTCTTGCTGCTGTGGTGGCGTACATAAAAAAAGTCCTGTCCTTCTTTGACACCAATTGGCCAACCATGCCCAGGAGAAAAGCCTCAGGTTTCTTAGGAAAGGTCCACTTAAGGACTTTCTTAATTTCATTATAGATCATTTCCCAAAAGGCTTTAATCTTCGGGCAGGTCCACCAAAGGTGGTAAAAGGTACCTTCAGTCTCATTACATTTCCAACATTTATTATTGGGCAAATGATAAATTTTTGCAAGCTTGACTGGGGTCATGTACCACCTATAAATCATTTTCATTATGTTTTCTTTTAAGGCATTACATGCCGTAAATTTAACACCAGTGGTCCATAACTGTTCCCAGTCACCAAACATAATGTCATGACCGATATCTTGTGCCCATTTAATCATAGCTGATTTCACCGTTTCATCCTGTGTATTCCATTTCAACAGCAAGTTATACATTCTTGACAAGTTCTTAGTATCGGGTTCTAACAATTCTGTTTCTAATTTTGACCTCTCCTTCTGAAATCCTATTTTCCTGTCCTGTTTAAATGTCTCATTTATCTGATGGTAATGCAACCAATCTCGGACTTTGGACTTTAATTTCTCATAACTCTGAAGTTTAACCTTTTCACCATCTTGTTCTAAAATTTCACAGTATTTTGGCCATTTAGAGTCCATGTTAAGTTTTTTCACCTCCTTAGCTTCCATTGGTGACAACCACCTGGGAGTTTTACTTTCCCCAGAGGTCTGTTCTTAACCTGAAACTGTTCTTAACCTGAGGTACCACTTTAGCTAATGGGGCCTCCTGCTGCCCCTGCACCACAGGAGCACGATTTCTGTTCTCATCCTGAAGCAAAGTTATTAACCCAAGGTAATATTTCTGGGTAAGCGGAGTCTGTAACCTGAAGCGTCTGTAACTCAAGGTACCACTGTATATGCATGTTATTCCTGCCTACGTGCAGAACCTGATATTTATCCCTACTGAAATTCATTTATTGCATTCAAATACACCTCCCCCCAAGGTTCTTCCCCTCTTCCCCCCCCCCTTCCCCCCAGGGTTCTCACAATAACCCTGTGAGCTTGGTCAGGATTTGAAGCAGTGCCTGGCCCCCAAGGACACCTGGTGAGCATCAGGGCCAAGTAGGAATTTGAACCCAGGTCTGCCAAGTCATACTCTGACACTCTAACCACTATACCACCCTAGCTCTGTCATGAGACTCTCAGAAATTGTGCATGTGTGCACTTTTGCTTCACGTTTAGGCGCAGGTCCTTGTACTTAAAAGTTCTGTACCCATGTATCAAAACAATAATATAATAGTGCATTTAAGGTACTGTTAGCTAGGGGGGCAGAAAGGGTGAGTAACCATCTACAGTGGTACCTTGGTTCTCAAACTTTATCCGCTCTGGAAGTCCATTCCCAAACCAAAGCATTCCAAAACCAAGATGCGCTTTTCCATAGAAAGTAATGCAAAATGGATTAATCTGTTGCAGACTTTAAAAACAAACAAACCCCAAATCAGCAATTTAACATGAATTTTCCTACTAGCGAGACCATTGATCCATAAAATGAAAGCAATAAATCATGTACTGCAGTCACACAATCAATCAGTAACTGAACTGGGTTCCACACAGTCACACACACAAAAAAGAGCTGCAAAAATAAATAGCAAAACCAGGACAGACCTCAGCATAACACTCAAAACGAAAGTTTGGCACTGAAAATGGAAGTGGGGCACTCAAATCAGAAGCGTAACGCTTGAAACAGAGCATGTTTGGCTTCCAAAAAATGTTCGCAACCTGGAACACTTCCTTGTGGGTTCCAAGTTGTTTGAGGACCAAGGAGTTTGAGAACCAAGGTACCACTGTATGTCTTTTCAAATGTGTTTGTGGGAAGATGGTTATTCTTTTGTATTGATTCTTGCTTTTATTATGTATTTTGTGTTTTATTTTGTATTTTTATGCTGTGAAGCACTCTGAGATCTTCTGGTGAAAGTCATTATACAAATGTAATAAATGGCAAAGTAGTCATAAACAATAAATAAAACTTTAGAACACACAACCAGACTGAAGAATACCCACATAAATCATGAGAAGTTCTAAAATATACAAAAACCTACAGCTACAACCCCACCCCACACCTGCTAAACCCAAGTCTCTGTTCAGCAGCCTCAGCTTTTGTAGCTGGAGTCCATCTGTACATCCATCACCCTGGACCAAAGGATTCCCTGGGATTCCCTGACGGACTCTCCTTGCTTGGAGGTCTTTAAACAGATGACCACCCGTCGTGGATGCTTCAGCTGAGATTCCTGCATTGCAGGAGAAGGTGCGACTAGATGACCCTGGGATTCCCCCCAACCCCCCCCCGATTCCCGCTCGGGGTTTCCCCCCTCCTGCTGCTGTTTCCAAGGGAGGGAGCAGCTCAGCTCGCCAGCCAAGAGGGGCCCCCAAATCCCCCTGCTTTGGAGAGGGAGAGAAGGGGTGCACGGCAGGCCAAGGGTTAAGAGGAGCGGAGCTGCCTTCCTAGAGCGGAAAGGAAAAGAAGGGGAAGCAGGCTGGTCCTCCCGAGCCCCTCCCTCCGCAGCGCCTGCCTTGCTGGAGAGGAAGGGATCTGCCCGCTCTCCTCTGGGATCTGGTGAGCCTCCTCTCCCTTCCCCAGGGGGTGCACTGGGGAGAAGGGGAGGGGGCAGGGGGGGGTCTTCCCTATCCATGCAGCGTGGGACCCCCCCTCCACGGTAACAGGTGGAACCGTTCAGGGAGGGGGAAGGTTCCTCCTCCATCTTTTCTTGGGGGCGGCGGGGAAGCAGCTCAGGCTGGGGGCAGGAGCCTTGTGGGGGAAGAGGCGGAGGGGCGGGGCAGCCAGGTCACCCGGGTCGCCCTCCTCTGCCCACCTCCCAGCTTGCCAATATCCTTCCTAAATTGTGGTGCCCCCAACTCCAGGTGGGGTCTGCCCAAGGCAGAATAGAGTGGCGCTGTAACTTCCCTTTATCTGAAAACTAGACTTCTGTGGGTGCAGCTTAGAATTGCATTAGCCTTTTTTGCTGCTGCATCACACTGTTGGCTCATGTTCAGCTTTTGGCCTACGGACACCCCTGCGCTCTCCATCTTACACTTGTGTAGCTGGTTCTCCCTTCCTAAGCGAAGAACCTTACATTTCTCCCTCTGGAAATTCCTCAGTGACATCTGTACTTTCTCTAAGGTCCATCAATAGTTAGAAAGGCAATGAATCACGTCTTGAGAGAAGCGTCATGCACTCCACTTACCTTTGTCTCTTGCAGGAGATAGAAGGTTGCTGGCAAGACCTCCTCATCCATCTTTTCTTGGTGGCGGAGGGAAAGCAGGGACTGTGGAACCAGCTCAGGTAGGGGAAGGGGGCCTTGTGGGGGAAGAGGCGGGGTGGGGGGTGGGGCAGGCAGGGGGCCTCTGAAGGAATCTCTCGCCTCTTCCTCTTGGCTTCTGTCAAAACAGCCCTTAACAAAGACTGACAATGTTATTGAAGAAGGTTTACGTGCTAAGAATAAGAACCCTCCACCTCACCTTAATTCTCCTTCTGAATGTTGTTACCGCTATTTATCAATCGTTGCAGCCTTATTTGTCTATTTATTGTGAAATCCTAAAATACGCTTCTCAACAGTTTGCAAACCATTACAAACCCCCACAGTAACCAGGACTAAGGCTGGGCAATAACTGCTTTTCAACATCTAAGGTACCGCCAGCTAAACACCACACTAGGGTGGTATATCACTATATTGGAAAGGAGCCCATTTCAAAGCAGCAGTGGGTGAGGCAGGTGGGCGAACTCTCACCCGCTGCCTTAAGACAGGCAAGGGGGACTGGGGAGGCTCAGCTGGGGGGCAGGAGGGCTTCTTTGGGTCTTCTCGTTCCCCAGCTGAGCAAGCCCCATGTCCCACTGGTGCGCGTCCAGGCCTAACCAGGAATCGCCTAACCAGCCCCATCTGTTTCCCCAGCACCTGCACATTGCCCCCCATGTGCTCCTTGAAGTTCACCTTGGGGCATTGGGAGAACAGTGCACACAACAAAACAAACAATAAAATAATTCCATTAAGATGTTAAAAGAAGCGTCCATACTTAAAATGTGCGGCAAAACAATCCCATTAAAACAGTGCGGTACTTAACAGGCAGGAAACGGGAAAAAACCCCACAATTCATAGAGGATAATCTTCATACTGGCTAAGAGGAAGACCTTTCTCCCTCTCTTTTTCAAGAGTTCACTGTCCTTTGAAGACATAGCTGTTCGTTTCCGGCGTGAGCAGTGGGCGTTGCTGGATCCTGACTAGAGAGCTCTGCAAAGGGAAGCTATCGTCGAGAATTGTGGGATCATGGACTCTCTGGGTAAGGCTGCCTGATGAAGCTTAATACAGTGGTACCTCGGGTTAAGTACTTAATTGGTTCCGGAGGTCCGTTCTTAACCTGAAACTGTTCTTAACCTGAAGCACCACTTTAGCTAATGGGGCCTCCCGCTGCCGCCGGGGCACAATTTCTGTTCTCATCCTGAAGCAAAGTTCTTAACCTGAGGTAATATTTCTGGGTTAGCGGAGTCTGTAACCTGAAGCGTATGTAACCCAAGGTACCACTGTATCTGTTTTGAAATTCCATACATATATGTGGTGAACCTCCCAGATTTTGATGGAGCTGAACAGCGCCACCTACAGCATCTGGGATTCTTGCATCCACACAATTTAACGTATTTTTCGCACCATAGGGCGCACCGGACCATAGGGCGCACCCAGTTTTTAGGGGAGGAAATCAAGAAAAAAAATATGGATGGATCCCACTCGCTGTTTTGGCTTCCCCTTTAGCCCCGTGCAGCCTCTACCTCCTGGGAGAGACTGCGTGAGGCTAAAGAATCCATAGCCCCGTGCAGCCTCTCCTTGCCGGAGGGGTTGCGTGCAGCTATGGAAGAAGGCAAGGCAGCAAGCGGGATGGATCCCGCTCGCTGTTTTGGCTTCCCCTTTAGCCCCGTGCAGCCTCTCCTTGCCGGGAGACGCTGTGCAGGGCTAAAGAAGCCATAGCCCCGTGCAGCCTCTCCTTGCCAGAGGGGTTGCGCGCAGCTATGGCACAAGCCTGCATTCGCTCCATAGGACGCACACACATTTCCCCTCAATTTTTGGAGGGGGAAAACTGCGTCCAATAGAGCGAAAAATACGGTACCTTGAATGGAGGCTACTGAATGTTTTGCTTGCCAATATTCTTCCACCACTTATGCCTTTTTAAACAAGGATCAGGCTGGTGTGAACTGGCCAGGCCTTTTTTTAAAGCAGGCTTCAGAGTGGTTATGGAAGTGGATGTAGCTTCAGTCCTTTTTATTATTATTATTATTATTATTATTATTATTATTATTGAAAGTTTTCAACATACAATGCAACAAAAACCAAGCTAATGTAGATATAGAGAAGAAAACAACAGAACTGAAAAAGAGAAAAAAGTTAAGTATTATAAAAACGGAGAAGGAAAAGATGGAACCAGGTAATGCATTAACACTTTATATCCAAAAAGCCAAGCCTGGCCTAGAGAAAGTGGGTGGAGAGTTGCATCTCCTGACAGTGGAACTCAAAGACATCCAAGGAGTCGGAAGATTCAGGACAGATAACATTAAGCTCTTCTTCACGCAAGGCAGAGTTCACCTGCGGAACTCCCCGGCACTGGACACCAGAGGGAGAGGGAGAACTGGCTTGCCAAGGGTTAAAAGGGATTGAGCGGGATTCCTAGAGGGAGAGAAAATAAAGGCGTTTGGGGGGGGTGTTGGGGGGGAGAAACTCCCCAGCCCAAGCCCCTCCCTCTCCGCCCTGCCTCAAAAGGAGGAGGGGCCTTTGTCTCTCTCTTCTGCACGTGCTGCCTCCAGGGCGCCTCCGGGGAGCCGGTGAGTCTCTGCATTGGGGAGAAGAGGGGGGTCCCCGGGATGCAGGGGGGAGCGGGGGGACCCCCAAGTCAAGGGGCAGGGGCTCCTGCCCCACCTCTCTGCAAAGCCCGGGTGGGGGCGAGGGCACAGGAGCTCTGCAAGTATTATCTTCCTTTCGATCCCTTCGTAGAGGGAAGAAAAGGGCCTGCAAAGAAGCCCCCTTCAGACCCAGGAATCAAGACGTCGTAGTGGGAAAGAAAGATCTGTACGGAAAATAGATGCAAATAATAATAGGGGAGCGTGAGCCATGCAATCAATTGAGACTGTTGGAAGAGGGGCAGAGAAGAGAAAGCGCTTCTTGGTGCCGTGCAGAATCAAGCCTGTGGAACTCCCTGCCCCAGGAGGCCAGGCTGGGACCAGGGCAGGGAGGAGGAGGAGAGGCTCCGGGTGGCTTCATGCAGGAGGGCTGAGCTCTCGTCTCCCCAGAGATGCTGCTGAATCCCAGTTGCTGGAAGGAAGCGCAGGGGGAGAGGGGGGGCTCTTGCGCCCCAGTCCGGCTGGGGGGCTTCCCATTGAGGCCCCTGGGTGGCCCCTGTGAGAATCATAGGGACATGGAATCGTAGAGCTGGAAGGGAGCCCAAGGGTCATCTAGTCCAGTGCAGGGAGGAGGAGAAGCTCCTGGTGCCCATCGGGCTGATTCATCTCACAGAAACCGCTTCCGTTTCCTCCACTTTTGGCCTGGTCACTTTCCCCCTAGGAGGGCGAGAGAATTTCTTCTTCTACATTCTTCCCTTTTTTCTTACAGAAAGCTCAAAGTCTGGCCCAGGGTGCAGTCCAGCCCTGGTTCCTAGCAAGACTCATCCACACTTGCTCAGAGAACCTTTCTATTCTCCTGACCGTGTGCCAATTTCATAACAGAACAAAATATTTCCTTTGCAGTATTTGGCAGCACCTCTAAATCAGACAGGCAGAACTTGGCCAAGGAAAAACTGGATTCCCTCCTAAAGATGGATGAGCAAGACTCAGCTGGCCCTGGAGCAGGAAGAGGCCATGCTATGGAAACTGGGAGCAGTGGGGGATTATGGGAAAACTCAGTGCAGAAGCTCCTGGGAGAGGAGGACACCCTTTGCTCAGAGGCGCAGAGCCGGCAGTTCAGGTGGTTCTTCTCCCAGGAGGCCAAAGGACCCCGTGAGGTTTGCAGCCGACTCCACCACCTTTGCCACCAGTGGCTGAAGCCAGAAAGGCACATGAAAGCTGAGATGCTGGACCTGGTGATCTTGGAGCAGTTCCTGGCTGTCCTTCCAGCGGAGATGGAGAGCTGGGTGAGGGAATGCGGAGCGGAGACCAGTTCCCTGGCAGTGGCCCTGGCCGAAGGTTTCCTCCTGAGTCAGGCAGAGGAGAGGAAGCAGGTGAGAGAGACTTTCCTCTGGATGCTCCCAAGGGGCTCCAAGGAGGGAGAAGATCCCTAAATCCCATCCTTTTTCGGAAGGCTACCAGATGCTGCTAAAATTTTTGCCTCTGCCATTCCTATTCTGATTCTTTTCCCCATCTCTGTTTTGAATCCTTGTTGCTGTTTCAGGGAAAGGATCCGTTTGCTGAAATGGGTCCTGATTTCTCTGAAGTAGAGAAGTCTCTGTTGGACACCAGAGATAAGCCACTGGGTAAGAAGGAAGGAGTATTTTCTCAGTTTGGTCCCATTCTGTTGGTGTTGAAAATAATCTGGTGGTTCTTTTGATCTTTTTGGGGAAGACACTTGAGGCCCTGAGCCCAGAGGAGCCTGATATATAATTTTGCACAATTAAATATGAAATAGGTACAGGGGAGTATTTCTTAATCTGTAGTTAGAGATGCACTGCTTCAGCTCTGAGAGAAGCATCCTGCACTCCTGTCTCCCCACTTCCCTTTGTCTCTCGCAGGTGAAAGAAGGATGCCGGCAAGACCTCCTCCTCCATCTCTTCATCCTGGTGGAGGGGAAGCAGCGGCTGAGGAACCGGATCAGGTGCGGGGAAGGAGCCATGGGGGGAAAGGGGCTGAGGGTGAGGGACAGAGGGCATTTCTGAGACGGAACAAATCTCTCCCCTCCTCATTGCTTCTGTCAAAGCTGCCCTTAACAAAGGCTGAAAATGCCATTAATGAAGGTTTATGCTCCGAGTAGCCCCTTCACCTTAACTCTGAATGTCGCTAGTATTATTCGTTATAAATTCTCTTTGAGACATCTGGGGAGTCTTTCCATCCCAGAACAACACACAGGGAGAGGAGAGAGGGATTCTTCCATTTGGCAAACTGGAATGCTTGCATAGACATATTGATCTGAATAAAACAACATGGAGTTCATTAAAATAAGCACCAGTAATCCAAATGTGCAACAGACCAATCCAATTAAAACAACCCAGGCAGGAAGCAAAAGAGCAACGTGCAGGAAATAATCTTTATGCTGCCTAAGAGAAGGATATTTTTATTTCAGAGCTCAGTTTCTTTTGAAGATGTCGCTGTTGTTTCACGGCTGAGGAGTGGGCGTTGCTGGATCCTGCCCAGAGAGCTCTGCATAAGGAAGTCATGGAGGAGACTTGGAGGACCATGATCTCTCTGGGTAAAGTTCCCTGTTGGGTCATCATCTCTGTTTTGGAATTCAGTAGATATTTCTCTGGGACAAACCTCCCATATTTGGATGGATCCCAACGTTGCCACTTAGAGTGCCAGGGATTCTCTTTTTTTTAAAAAAAATGAATATTTATTAGCATTTTCAAAAAAGGAAAAAACATACAAAAAACAAAAATACAAAAATACAAAAAACCAAAACTTAAAAACAATTAAAAACACCTGAAAGTTCAAATACTTATTTTCTTTTAACTTGTTTCTCAGACCTCCTCACGCCTCCCTTTGTTTGTATTCCAATTTAAATTATTAGCTCAGCAAATCCTTGACTTACTTCTCATTTTAACTTAATTTAATTTATTCTAACGTGTTATTATTTACTTTTCTTCTTTCTTCCATTTCCTCAATTTATATTTACAAACCTTAATTTCATTTAATTTAGACCATTTTAAAAACCAATTTTAACTTCTCCAAATTTACACATCAATATTTATACCTTCATTATTTTTTCTTAAACATTTTTGCTAAAGTTGACCAAAATTTCCCTTCCACGACTTTCCCAATTTCCATACTAATAGCAAAGCAAAGTTAAACAAAACAAACTATATTTATATACCCTTTGGATTCCCAAACTCCACCCACCCTTTTCCCGGTTTTAGTCCTCAACAAAAATCCATCAGTCTCAATATACTGTTTAGCCTGGAGATCTCACGTCCGAGGCTCTCAATTCTCTCTCAGTTCCTCTCTGCCGGTCTTTTTGATAGTCCTTAATGTTAAACTCCAAATCTCGAAGAAGCTCCGGCCCAACAGGATCCATGTTTCTACCAGCCAGACCTCCATATTTAAAAGTAAAGCCTAGGGGGTACTTCAAATCTTGTTTTATACTCCTTTCAGGTCCAAATGTCCCCAGAGCTCCAACTTCCACCTCCAATTCAGGCCAGGCTCTCCACATCAGAATTTTATTTTCCTTTTTTGTCATCATGTCAGGCCTCAAAATGCAACTCTCCTTTAACTTCTGCAAAGTTTCAGCTCCTCTTCCTTTTCTTCAGGAGCAACATCTGTCACCTGCTCCATATTGTCAAAGCTCTCCGCTTTCTCTTATTTGTTCAGTTGGATAGGCTCCTTGTTTCAAGTCCTTATCAGATTCAACAATGTTCTTTACTGCTAAGTCCAGAGTTGTAACATTTGTAGCCAAAACATCAGATTGGCCTTGTAACTTTCCCAAGAGAACAAATGCTCTGTCCAATTCAGCCTGGATTTTCCTTCCTCCAGCCATTCCTGTAATGTCACTAAACCCCTCTAGGGGGATTTTAGTTCCTTAATATTCCTTTCAGCTCAAGTCCAAAAGTCAGGTTATTTTGTATCAGCCCTTCCTTATTTTCAACAGATTATTACAAATTAACCAACAGAAGCAACAGAAACAAGGTTCTCTTTTTCCGTCTTGACAGCTAACTTGACAGCTGTCAAACTTTTCAGTCTTTCATCAACAGGCTCTCTCGCGGGACACTCCCGGGTCCGGGGGGGTGAAACTTCAGCTCCCAAAATTAATCTTATTATCCTCCAGCAAAAATTCTTATGATGTCAAAACCGTGAAATTAAAGTCTTTTACTAAAAAGAAAGAAAAGATTCTCTTGACCTTAGCTAGCAGGTCCTTTGCTTTAAATTGTTTACAAGGGGGGGTGGACTTCCTTTTTAACCCTTCCCCGCTCGTTCCGGATCCACCAAATTTTTATTTAAAATTCCAGTTTCCGTATTACTCACGGGTTGGTGTTTTAGAGTCTGAATGTTCCAAGAGAAAGTCAGCGCTCTCCGATAATGGCTTGCGGCTTCACTCTGCAGATGAAGGAGTACTCTCAGCACAGTGCCGCACCCCGTCCCCGTTCCGAAGCCTTTAAAAAGGCTCCTTCATGGATTGGGGGGGGCGCAAATGGTGCCTGCCGAGTCACCTACGCTCCACAGGCTTCTGCGCCTGTGATTTTAAGGGTCCCCGCGTCGCCGTCGCGGCAAGACCCAGTCTCTGCAGAGCCGATCCTCCGGAGCTCGGAGGGAATCCGCCATTAATCCGATGGCGCCAACCCGGAAGTCTAGAGTGCCAGGGATTCTCACACCCCCACAGCTCACCCTTGCATGGAGGGCTATGGACTGTTTTTGTCTGTGAATATGGTTCCTCCCCTTCTGCCTTTTTTGCACAAGGAATCAGGGGTGTGGATAGGCTTTCTTGAGTGTCTAGGGAAGTGGACGTCGCTTAATCTTTTGAAATCACCAATAGTTAGTTTAGAGCCTTGTTGATCTATTTTCCAACCCATTTAGAATTCTGTCATTACACAGCAATTTAATTCTCCCCTGGACGCTAGGTAATTGGGTAGACAGAGAATCCAATTCACATTCAAATAGAGTTCTGACCTTGCAGATGGAGTTGGTTCAATGATTGAGCCAAAGAAATTTCACCCTGAAAAGAACAGGCTTTTTGAATATGAATTTCCCATAAATGACAGTAAATGTTAGTCAGCAAAGGCAGTTAATTCTGCAGTAAGACTTCCCATCTAACGCCCTTCAGATCTTCCTTTATCACAAATGTTTCATGAGCGTTAATTCAAAAACTGGGAACTCATTTCTTTCTTGGGCTCTGATCTGTTCCTCTCTTTGTTGCAGATGGTGATGAATTAGAAATTAAGAATAAGGGACAACAGGACAAAATCCACACAGTGGATAAGCCAATATCAAGATTTGGAGTGTGGGGAGAACTTCAGTCAGAGCTCCCATGCCACTTCCCATCAAAGAAAATCCTATTGGGAAGAAACCCTTTCAGTGCTTGGAATGTGGAAAGAGCTTCAATCACAGCTCACACCTCAAAGCCCATCAAAGAATTCATTCCGGGGAGAAACCATATCAGTGTTTGGAATGTGGAAAGTTCCTTTACTACAAGCAGATACTTCCGTCGACATTGGAGTATTCATAGCGTAGAGAAACCATATCAGTGCGTGGAATGTTGGAAAGAGCTTCTCCAGGAAGGAGAATCTCACTTCCCATCAGAGAGTTCATACAGGGGAGAAACCATACCAGTGCTTGGAGTGTGGGAATAGCTTCAGTCGGAAGATTAGTCTTACTTGCCATCTAAGAATTCATACAGGGGAGAACCATATCAATGTTTGGAGTGCGGAAAGAGCTTCTCCAGGAAGGACGCATCTCCACTTCCCCATCAAAGATATCATACAGGGGAGAAACCATACCAGTGCTTGGAATGTGAGAAGTTCTTTATTACAGGAAAAGATTTACATCGACACAAGAGAATTCACAGTGGGGAGAAACCATATTCAGTGCTTGGGAGTGTGGGAATAGCTTCAGTGACATCTCACATCTCAAAGCCCATCAAAGAATTCATACGGGGGAGAAGCCCTATCACTGCTTTTGAGTGTGGAAAGAGCTTCAGTGGGAAGACTAGTCTTACTTCCCATCAAAGAATTCATACGGGGGAGAAGCCCTATCACTGCTTTGAGTGTGGAAAGGAGCTTCTCCAGGAAGGACCAATCTCACTTCCCATCAGAGAATTCATACAAAGGAGAAGCCATACCAGTGCGTGGAATGTGGGAAGAGCTTCTCCAGGAAGGATAGTTCACTTCCCATCAAAGAATTCATACAGGGGAGAAACCATACCAGTGCTTGGAATGTGGGAAGTGCTTCAGTTGGAAAATTAGTCTTACTTCCCATCTAAGAATTCATACAGGGGAGAAGCCATATCAGTGCTTGGAATGTGAGAAGTGTTTTGCTTCAACAAAAAACTTATGGCGACATAGGAGAATTCACACTGGAGAGAAACCATTTCAATGCCAAGAGTGTGGAAAGAGATTCACCTTCAAGCAACTCTCACTTCCCATCAAAGAATTCACACAGGGAGAAACCATATCAGTGCTTGGAATGTGGGAAGAGCTGGAAGGAAATCTCACTTCCATGAAATAACTCACAGCGGGGGAAATCCTGGAATTATAGAATAGTAGCTTTGGGAGGAATCTTGAGGGTCATCTAGTCTAACGAACTGCAATGCATCTTTCTTGATGTTTAGTCAGAATCTCCTTTCTTCTTCTGTTCTTGTGGGGGTCACATGGTTCTTCACTTCCTTTTTGATCATGAGAATAAGTGTGAAGGTTAGGTTAGGCTCCCAAGGCTGTCCAGTGAGCTACATGGCCAAGGAGGGATTTGAACCCAGGTCTCCCAGGGTGTTGTCAAATACTCTGGCACTATACTACACTGGCTCTCCTATGAGACTCTTTAAGAAATTGTTCATGCATTTGTGTCTGCCTAAAATGGTGCCATATGCTGGTGTTTGTATTTAAAGCTGTGTACTCCTCTAACAAAGTAATTTATGTAATAATAGTAAGTCAAGTTCAATATTATAATAGATTTAAGGTAATGTTATCTGGGGGAGGGGCTGTTGATTGGCTGAGAGTTTGGAAGGGTATTTAAGTAAGCACAACATAACCATCAGGCCTCTGGCTAATTAAACTTTATCATTTTAAGTGTCTTTGTGGGAGACGGAAATATTGGTGTGTTTCATTTTTGTTTTTATTATGTAATTGGTGTTTTTATTTTGAATGTTAATGCTGCGTAATGCCCTGATATCTTCAAAGGAAGGCAGTATATGAATTTTAATAAATGAAAAATAAGGTCATAAATCATAAAGGAAAATATAAAAATACTCTGGGGTGGCAGCTGGAATGAAGGGGCTGTTTGGTGAAATACCCAGTCAGGACCAGCTCACAGCTCTGCCCTTGAGTACTCTGGGAAGGGCCACCATAGCTCAGGAGCAGGACACCTGCTTGGCATGCAGAAGGGCCAGGCTCAATCTCCCTTGTGAGCATCTCAGGCTGGGAACATTCCC